TATAACACGGTTGAGAGAAAGGCAAAACGAAGGACGCGCATGGTGTAGTGGTGAAGACGTTAGCCTCCGGAAAAGGTAATAACGTGGTTCGATCCTCGCCATAGACGTCAGCGCTTCGGAGTTTTGCAAATATCTCAGCATCGTTGCAGTAATGCTTTTCATAGTTGGAGATATCTCTGTGTGTTATGAGTTTAGTTGTTGTAAACACGAACATAATATTCGATTGTTACATAGGTTTTTTTGTACGTGAACATTCGTAGAACTTGTTCTAGCTGGCTGTTGATTTCGTCGGTTTCATCTATTCAATCAGTCATATGCCTTTGAATCTTTGGTTATCTAGAAGCTGTAATGTTGTTGATCATTCGCTAGAAGTTTCGGACGAGGTGAAAAACACATATCATTAATTATCGATCCGAAATGAGATGTGTGTTTTCTACTCGTTTGCCCGTTTGTCTGGTTGTTCCGTGAAGTGTCTGAATTCATACTCATCTCAAGTTCTCCGACTTGCCGATATTCTGAGCATGACTGAATGGATATTTCGATTGATTTTATGTCTACTTCAGCAGTCCGTTTGTCCGCTTGTTTTCGTGTTCACTGCACAAGTCTGCCTTTTTAAGGGTTATCCTTAACCCTTCCTATTAAGCTTGTGCATTTTAGCATACGGATATTTTTCAGACATATTCTCGTTTTGGGTAGGCTAGTTGCGGGTTTCATCTATGCTACAAGCGGCACATCCCGTCAGAGCCGGCTGCATTGTGAGTCTTAGAAATATACAGTGGGGTTTGGCCATCACCAAAGTAGAGCCGTATCCGGTGGTAAAGAGCGATTCTAACATAGCATCAGTGCAGTCGTTTTAGATTAATGACTGTCCACTAGTCGACCTAGTCGATTAAACAATTTAAAAATGATTCTTCATTAGGCTGTTGTTGTCTGGGGTACAGACACTGGATCTTGTGAAAACCTGCGCCCACATACTTACCAGATTGTGGTTACCAGAAGGACAAATTACTTTTCGGTACAAGTAGTTCTGTGAAAGTAGCTGTGGCATCGTTTGTGATTGTTGTCGTGCTTCTCAGTGGTGCCGACGAGTCTGACACTTGTCGCACTTAGACACGTCGCCTTACAATCGAACATGGTAAGTGGTTTTAGTAACTGTTGTGATGTGATTATTAGACTCTGTCCGGTCCTTGAGTCGCTGTGTGGTTCGAGTTTGATCACCATACCACTTCTCGTGAGGAAATGGAACTCAGACAGTTAAACAGTGTCAAACGATGGTCGCGGTGGCTTCAACATCGGTTCCATTCGCATACATGGACGACAGAAACATGTTGGGCTGTACTCCAAAGAGTTTCATAGTGAACGAGTTCATAAATGCTCGATATCCTGGGCTCTCTTTTGTTCTGACATGACTTGTATTTACCAAGTGTTTGCATCGAGTAGTGGTGTCCTTTCTGAAGTGATGTGATGTGAGTTGCATTACTAGTGATAAAGAATTCGACCAACTGGTAACACTGAAGCTTTGTACGGGTTTAGTGTTTGTTCTTTTGAAGAAGATCGCTATCGTATAATATCGGTATTTTTCTATATTTAACGCTGTAAGACATTTGCGTCCTAAGCCACTTACCGTACAATTGGTTCAACAATTAGATTTCGTAGTAGGACGTAACGGTAGTTGTAAGGGAATGTATTGTTGAAAGAGTGTTCTGTACTTTTACTTTCGTTTAACTCATAAATTTAGGGATTTTCTAGACCGGAACATTTTCACGGATGCAATTCTTTTATAACGTGGTCGCAGTAACTTTAGCAGATTTTTCTAACTTCTACACCTCTTAAAGGAAAACAGATTTGTATCTGGATTGAACTGTATGCTGTTTTCGCCGTAGTTGAAAATTTCCGTTTTCCGTTTTGTTTACAGATAGATGTAGATGATTTTCTTGCTTTTCAGAGAAAAGAGTTAGATAAACGACCATTTTTGTAGGAGCATGTGAACGCGCCTTCCACTGCAGAGAGTAAGAGTGCGAAGAAGTCGTCGAAGCCGATGTCGAGTTCAAGTAATAAGAAATCGCTGAAATCATCTGCACTTGACCCAGAGGTCAGTCTCAAACCCTCTTATAAATGACGGACTTGTCGTTGGTGCAGGTCTGTTGGCATGTCTATTTACCAAGGTGTATCTGCCGATGTTTCTGTTTCGTTCTTGACTACCTCTATCACTATTTCTTCTGTGAAAGTACTGTATTATTTTAGTTAGCACCACTTTCAATACGTGGTCCCCAAGCAATGGATAATGGTGCGCAACAAACACCATCAGCGCAAGTGCCAGTCGCACCATCTAGTCGCCATTCAACAACGACTGCCCAACCTCCTCATTCTTCAAGCCGCTCTCATCACTCAGGGACTGGGTACGTTTCCACTCTTTTCGTAACATCTGTTCAGTTCCATACCTTTGAATAAGCACTCATTTTTCATTTTCTTTTTTTTCCAATTTGTAGAGGGTGTGGTGCTGAAAGGTGGATTTGATAACAGTTGTTTGGGATTGAGAAATGTTCAACTAAAACATTGTTTGCTCAAGAAGAAGTCAGCAAGTAAAAATTTACTGATGACATGTGTTGTGCATTTGTTCGTTGCAAAAAAAAAGACGATTTAGTTTTTTTTCATAATCTGTCATTAATTACCATCAGTAAGTGTGTGACGTATGTGACGCAGTGGTCGCAGGCGTCCTACAGTACACATGGATCGGTCCCCCACCTCTGACCCACCGAGCCTTTCATCCCTTCTTTGTCGGCAAATTGGTACCAGACTTGTCTGGAAGGATAGCAGCACTGGCTCGATACATCGGTAGACTACCGTAAAGCCCAGATATGCATTCAATCACCTCCAAACGATGCTTAATGAAGTCGAGTGCATGGCGCATCTCTCAGAGATAGATGAAGGCCGAGAGCTTTCTCCTTTATTTAAGTTTGTGACTTTTGTTGATAATCATAACATTATATGCTAGTATTCATTTGTATACTCAATAAATGACATTTTATTAAATTTATTTTATTAATAAACGTCCTTAGCGCCAATAGATCATCTGGAGGAAACTTTTCCTCTAATGTACTAAATATAACTGAGATATGCCTAATATCGATAACATCTGTATTGATTTAAAATACTTCAACTTTGCAGTATTGTGAAATTTCTTACCTTTCGTTTTCTTTATTTTTGTCTTGTGGCACTGGTGGTGCCTCACATTACCAAATACAGCACATTTTTATGCTAGTTCACTCTAAGACGGCTGCACCTCCCAACGGTTTATCGCCTCATTGTGGCTAGGAGGTTTTCCTGGGTGTCGGACTGCGATGTACAGCGGGGGGATTCATTCAACCGGCAGGGTCTCCCAAGCTGAGAAGGAGTCCGGCGTTTCCATCAGAAAGCCTAGCTAAGAGTAAACCAATACCAGGGTCCACCACCGTCTTGGTATTAAAGTCATGTGGTGGTAAACCTCTCTCTGATCCACAGTGTTCAGAGAACGGTACGCAGTTTTTGGCGCTTAGATATGAATGACTAATCTACATGTCGTAGATGAAGTAGACATTTTCGTGAACGAAGTTCACAAACGAGAAGAGCTTCGCGTTGACACTAATCGATCATCTTTGTCGAAGCACTTCTATCAGCGTGGGATGGTCATGAAGGCCACCGCGTGGGTTCCACTTACATCGTCCCAACAAGACTTGGCAGAGATTTCTGCTTGCGGTTGACATCTAAGATGCGCCAGCACCGATGTCTTTTTGAGGCGGGTGACGAGTAGGTAGTAAAATTGGTGAATGAATCTCTTAAAAGATCAAGTGAAGATAGTAGGAATGTTCTTGTTCATGCACCTTCTTCGTTCAGACCTTGCATCCTGATTAATAGCTATTCATTTCTCTGCACAACACTTCGAGTGATATGAGTTCGAATTCTCTGGGAACGTGCAGAAATCGTCTTAGTCAAGTATTTGCTCGAGATTCTCAGAACGTAACTAACTGTCTGGGAATTATACATTTGTTGCAAATTAGTCAGAACATTATCGAACAAAACGACGCATATTTTCGTATACATTTATCATCACATTCATGACGACATTAAATTTTCAGTGACTTCGACAGGGAACTGCGCCTTATTTTCTTTGCTTTGCTCGTTATTCAACGTACGAGCGTTTGTATGAATTATGAGTCATTTGTAGGAGTAGGTTGTCCGATATGAGCCACATAGGTTCCATTTTTATTTCGGCCTTTTTTGGCCCCGCCAACATTTTCTAAGACCTTTCGTATTGAGTCGATGGGTTCACCACCACGGACGTATGCAGCAGCAGTCGTCTTGCAGAGGAATTTTCACCATACTATTATGTTTTGTAAAGAACTTCTTAAGAACATTTGCTCGTCTCAGTGGGTTTCGCGTCAGATCGTTGCTTATTTTCCATTTAAATTAACAAAGAAAACTTCTTACAATAAAGGTATTCCACTGCATGGTTCAGGGAGGGCACTTCAACCGGTATGAGTCATTCACGCGAGAAGAAATATACACGACGCAGACTTATTTGAGTGCATTCATCGTCAGCAGTTTTTGTGGTGCCATAAGTGGTCTCCACCGTAAGGAAATCACTTTGGGATTCATGGAGACTAATAGACTTGTACCATTAACTGTTACAAATTTCGACTTGAAGTAAATAACTTCTTTAGAACGACCTGGATAAAAATCTGTCACTGTCGATAGAGTTCAAAAATTCTTGCTGACAAAATTTCTTCAGTAAAAGAATCGTAAAGATGCATTGAAGCACTATATTGTCTAATGTTTCTACTCACGTATGCATTGCAATCACTCCGGGCAATTGCCATTGTGCCCGTCGTATTTTGAATGAAGCAAAATCTCTGTTTTACTTTTTATTTTCTGCCTTCAATAATTTTTATGGCAGGTTATTAAGCGAAATACAACCACAAGATTGCTGAGATATTAAAATCTCTGTATTTAAATTGTTGAGCTTGTATGAGGTTGACAAATGGATTTATTCGGCTAACGCTTCGACGTCTTCGTCTTCATCAGAGCCTACATATGAGTCGTTGGTCCACAGTTGTTCGTCTTCTCTATGTGGCGTCCTAAAATCTCTATATCAGTTTTGCAGAAGTGCGTAGAATTTTCGCCAGCAACACAATGTTTGCCAAATAGCAAAATGCTTTACCTGAGATTATTTTTCGTTTAATTTGCTGCACTGACAAGATATTGACTGGTGGCTCTCGAGGCCTCCCACATTCCATGTTTGTCCATTATCTTACTTGTTGTGTTGAGTTAGTATTCGCATAGATTCTTGAGCAACCTTATATTCAATACGTTCCATGTTCATTCATCCGAACTTGTCCCACAGTTTGAAGATCCTTTTGTTTGTCTACATGGTCAGAGTAACTCTGTGGGAATGTTTTGCTTTTTTTTAAAAACTGTTGTGGTGAGTCAATACATTTTATAGAACGGATGCGTTTTGTATAGGTCGTCCCAGCATGCATCTCATTTGCGTCCATCGGCGGGAATGGGATCATCCAGCCGATCTGGTGGACGACGGCCGCCCGATGATCCCCATGTTGGAAAGTACAAATTGCTCAAAACCATCGGCAAAGGAAATTTCGCCAAGGTGAAATTTGCTTAACATCGTGTTTGTAGTGGAAATATCGAAGTTACATGATATTTTTGACCTTTTTGACGCTTTATACTTTGAACCTTACCATCTATAGCAAGAAGACAGATGAGCGCCCTAATGCTTTGCACTAATTACCTTTTGTTATCATTATTTCCTGTTATTTATTTACTGTATATGTTTCCTAACTAATTAGTGTCTATCTTTTAGGTCAAACTAGCCAAGCACACAATTACGGGTCAGGAGGTTGCTATCAAGATAATCGACAAAACGGCATTAAACCCGAGCAGTTTACAAAAGGTGAGCAGCAAGCGTAGGATCTATACGATTTAGGAGATTTGGGATAAAAAAGTGTCTGTTGGTGAGAAAATGCCTGGTTTTTTTTTCTTTGAAATTTTGCCCTTTAGACTTCCTATTTTTTAGACGTTGCTAATTCAAGCTCTATATCAGGGTTTGGAAGGTCTAGGAAGATTGTGTAAATAGAAAAAAGTAAATAGACAACGAATTCAGGGATAAATGATATGGCTTCGGCCATGGAATACGCACCCTATGCGCTTCAGCAATGGTGCTTAGTGAAGCTATTTTAGAGAGTGATTCCTTGTAGAGAGGAGTTCAAGATATTTTGTGAATTTTCATCTTGCTATTTCAGCTATTTCGTGAAGTGAAAATCATGAAGCAACTCGATCATCCCAACATCGTCAAGTTATATCAAGTCATGGAAAACGAGCAAACACTATATCTTGTTCTCGAGTATGCCTCTGGAGGAGAGGTATGTGTTGCACAGTTTATTGTTTGTTTTCTTTCTTCCTTTGTTCTCTCTTTTTGTGAAGATCACACCGTCTTCAAATGTCGTTTTCATACAATATCAGCTGATCGATTTAAGTAGCGTGATATACTGAAGAACTGATAATGTTACTCATATTAGGTGTTTGACTACTTGGTTGCACACGGAAGGATGAAGGAGAAAGAAGCTCGAGTGAAATTCCGACAAATAGTCTCTGCTGTGCAATATCTCCATTCAAAGAGTATCATTCATAGGTGTGTGCTCTATTTTCCGACAATATCACAATTGGTTTTATTTTTTTTACATTTGTAATATTTACTATGGGGCGGGTAGCACAGTGGTAGTGATGTCGGTCATCACGAGCATTCTCCTAGTTCGATTCCACTCCGGTTTGACCATGCCTCTCCTCCCTCCGAGGTCGGGAAATTGGTACCGAACTTATCCGGAAAAATCATTCTCTGCAATCCAACTGGGAACGCTCTAGGCCGGCTATCTTAGGGAGAATTGACTCGGCATTCTACGATATTCAAGATGAAACGAAATTCCTCAAGCAGTAGCCGAGGGTACACATAAAAGTTGGAAGATCTTCGTTTCTGCGACGAAAGGAATTGAATGTAAGGAGTGCTGAGATTCGCACAGTGGACGTGAAGACGGGTCATATAAAAATAAAAAAGAACACATTTTTTTTTATTATGTCTATGAACCGTATAATTATTATTACGGTACATCCTATTATTGACTTAGTAGAAAGAAAACTTTTCAGGGATCTGAAAGCAGAAAATCTTTTGTTAGATGCCGATATGAATATAAAAATAGCCGATTTCGGTTTCAGCAATCAATTTGCTCTAGGTTTGTCCGAACGTCATTTTTGAATTCTGTTGCCACTTAGTCAGTTTTATGAAGCACGCACTTTAGGCAACAAATTAGATACATTCTGTGGATCACCACCTTACGCTGCACCTGAGCTTTTCCAAGGGAAAAAGTATGATGGACCAGAAGTTGACGTATGGAGTCTTGGCGTTATTTTATACACTCTGGTATCAGGAAGTCTACCTTTCGACGGACAAAACTTGAAGGTTAAGATTTTCAGGCCCTTATTTCTGTGGAAAAATAATGGTTATTAATATAGATATGTTACGGTTGCCTGTGATTCTTCGCCATTTAAAGTAGCGCTGCGGAATACTGAACACTCTCTGAGTTCATGCTTATAGAATTCTCATGAATGTCATTCTATAAATTCTATGTGCACTTCTACAGATTAATTACAGTTTGGAAAATTTTTTAAAGGAACTACGTGAACGTGTACTGCGTGGAAAATATCGCATACCTTTCTACATGTCGACAGATTGCGAGAACCTGCTTAAGAAATTTCTAGTTCTGAATCCAGCTCGCCGGGGCACTCTTGAAGCTATAATGAAGGATCGGTCTGCTTTTTGTCTCATTCATTTCAATATTTCTTGCTTTTTTAAAAAAAAAGAATTTCGGTCCATGGTTTTCTGGAGGGGCGTATGTAGCGCAGTGGTCGGAAACGCCCTGCATTACACATGGAATTGATCTCCGCGCCCCAGGCCCACGAAGTCCTCCAACCCTCTGGGATCGGCAAATTGGTACCAGACTTATTGAAGGATATTAGTACTGACTCGATACATCGGTAAACCACTAGGAATCATTGTATATGCCAGATATGCATTCAGTCACCTTCAACGATGCTTAATGAAATCGAATACTTGGCGCATTCCTCAAGGGTTTATCAACGCCGAGAGCTTTATCCTTCTATCCTTTATCCCTTTTTTATGGTTCTTTGGACAATTGCAGGGGAAGAAGTAAAGGACCAATTGCGACTTTTTTATATCAAAAGAATATGAAAGAAATGCTTAGTGATTATCGTATTGTGTAGTATTTAAGGTGGATGAATATTGGTTACGAAGATGAGGGCGAATTAAAACCATACGTGGAGCCTCCAAAGGATCAAATTGACGAAGCAAGGATTGAAAAGCTCATACAAGTATGTAGTAATGATAACATAGAGTTATTCTACGTAGGAAAACTATTTCGTGCCTAACGTATATCCTTCAGCTCGGATTTAACAAAGGTAGCATATTGGATGCTTTGGAAAAAGAAAAATTTGAGGATATACACGCTACCTATCTCTTGTTGGGTGAACGGAAGTGTGAAGTGAGTATTCGGTTTTTTGGAAATTCAACTATCGAGGTCTTCATACGAAATTTTCCGCTAACACTGGTGTTTTAATAATAAATGTGTAGCTCCTCTTACCTGCATCTACACGATTCCACCTTTGCTACTAACATTGAGGGTTGCTTCTGCTATGACATATGACATTTAGAGTAGTTTCTGAGGAAATTGACATGTGAATTTTTGCAGTAGTCCTACCTTTAATCCAATAAAGAAATGCACGAAGTTGTAATTCCATACTACATTTTTTGTTGAACTACTTCATTTAAATTTAAGGTGCACGCCGTAATAAAAGCACTATAGTAGATATAACGATTTTGAATCTTCAGTCTGGATACTTGTATGTTTGTTTATATAGTGTTTTGAATGTGAGCTGCAGATGGACGCTGGTGATACCGCACTGGCTCAGCAGACCGTAACGCATTCGACTCACAACGTGTCATCAGGTATCGGCTCACCTGCTGCTGTTACTGGCACCAACGCCTTTTCAGTGGCCACGTCTACGCAGTCGGTGAGAGATGATGTTGTGCGAGCGTAGTAGTGTGTGTTATGAGCGTGGATGCATGAGTTCATGTTTGCATTTGCATGTACTTCTGGCTAAGTCTATAGGTATTTCAACTGAAGAATTCTAAGCTTGGAACCACTCCGCAGAATATCATCACTAGTTTTTGATTAATGTGTAGTTTATATGAACACTGTGGAAAGCTGTAGGATAGACTGGGGAAGAAAATTTTCTAGATCCTAGAACTAGTACCCTCCAAATGGTTTATCTCCTCATCGTGGCTAGGAGGTGTTCTTGGGTGTTGGATTGAGGTGTACAGTGGGGATGCATTCCCACAGCAGAGTCTTCCAAGCTGTGAGGAAGTCGGGCATTTCCATCAGAAAGCCCAGCTGAGAATAAACCAACACCAGGATCCACCACCGTCCTGGTATCAAAACAGTCGCATGTAGTGGCAAATCACTCTGTAGTCCACAGGGGTAGCGCCTGCCTGTGGTGATGACGACCTGTAGCAGACTTTGGCCAAGCTGTCAAGGGACTTCATGTAACCACAATGGCTAAACCAGCAAAACTCCGAAACAATGGAAATTTTACTGGGGCCCACACAACCAGTGAGGATCGACCATCCAACTATCCAAAGAAATGAAACTAGTAATAAATAAATCGGGCTGTTTTAGGGTGCAGTTGCGAGGGATTACGTGATAATTGTTAAATCAGTTCAATTGTAGTGACAGCATTTTATACCCGCTGAGCTGTTAAAGTTTTATGTTTCGTCGTTGCTTATTTTGCAAATAGTTTCCCGAAGGTGTTTTTTAAATGTTTAGCCGTCGAAGTATTCGCGAACGTCGTCAGCGCAAACTTCGAGTGCCGCAGGCGTTTCTGCAGTGAATCCCTCAACACCTATTCCAAAGCAATCATCTCGACGAAGTAGTCAGAATGATGCGACTGTTGTGAGCAGTCAACAGCCACCTCCACAGCCTGTGTCTACGTCATCAGCCCGTGGGCAGGTACGTTTATTGCATTTCATCGAGGGCTTTGTACACATTATTTTCATCAGGAACTAGCATTCATTCACAAGTTCCGTTTACTTCTTCTTCAGGTACAAATGCGTCAGCAGCCAACGTCGCGACATACTGCAATAAGCATGGTTCCGGGTACTTATCAAAGTGGTTTGTTACTGTTGCGCATTTTATAGGTCTTTTTTATCTTTCGCTCACTTTGTTCTATTTGTCCAGGTGCAAACGATGGTCATAGAGACTATTTGGCGTCCTTTACACGTGGCGGAACATCGTCCACAGTTTCATCAGGATCACGAAAATCAAGTGATCCGAAAGGACGCGTCCCTATAAATTTAGGAGTGCGTGCTGCTGGCCAGCGAATGGAGTACGTATATTAGAGGTATTGCTTTGCTTATCGTGGTCATTCGAAAAATTCCTTATCATTTAGTGGTTCGTCATCGGCTCGAACGACACATCAATCTAGCGGAATTTCATCTGCATATCAAATACCTGCTTCTGCTTCTCTCGTTGGAAAATTGCCTGTAGCTGGTAGCCATAATGGGTCCAATTCAGCGGCATTGTCTCTAAAGACTCCCGGAGCTATAGCGCAAGTCCCTTTGCCTTTGCAGGTCTGTGATTTTTGTGTTAAAAGGATCCTCTGAGGTATGTATTGTATTTTAGAAGTCAGGTTCTCAGATTTCACACGCTCCTACCGAGCCTGCGATAAAAGAAGATGAAGATGAAGGCAGTGAGTCGTCAGGTGGTGCAGCAAACGGTGTCACCACAGTGACCCATTTACCTATTATCGGTGGTGCTCCGGTGCAGCAGGTCTTTTGTATACTTCCATAATTTCGTACTTTTTCAAGTCACTTAGATAATTGATTGATTTACTATTAAATTCTCAATCATCAATTAGTGGCATGCTAACATATATTGAATACTGTTTTTCACCTTTTACATCCCAACAGTTTACCGGCTCATCGTGGCTGGGCGGTGTTCCTGGATGTCAGGCTACGGTGTACAGCGGGAGGATTGGTCCTCTTGTCAGGGTCTCCCAAACTGAGAAGGACTCCGCCGTTTCCATCAAGATGCTCAGATAAAAGTAAACCGATACCAGGATTCATCACCGTCCTGGTACCAAACTAGTCGTAAGGTGCCATATCTTCCTCTGACCCACAAAGGCTGCGAATGCCTATGGTGGTGACGACCAGAAGCATACCTTGGCCTGGCTGACCTCCGGACTGTTTTTCGCTGGTTAAAACGTAACTTCTGGAAGCTTCGAACAATTTTATAGAATTAAATACCTCTTCATCGTGTTCTACATACTCCTACAGACGATTCATTATCTGCGTTATTATTAAGTTGGGTAAAGTTAACCATTCACCGTTGATTTTAGAGTCCTCTTCCACCCGTTGAGGAGACCTGTGATGTGAAAGCGTCTGCTTCTGTCACTCCTGAAAGAGAACACAAGTTAGTTTTTCTTTTGCACTTGTTTTTCCCCAGTCACCGATTCTAGCAGATCGTGAAGCTATAATTTTAGTGGAATAATGTGTTTTCCATGATACTTCCAACCTTATATTTAAAATGGGTTTTCCGCAGACAGTGGACGAATACTTTTTTGATTTGGCACAGGTTCTTCCTTCTCTTGCTTTTGTTACAGCTTTAAATTCATGAAGCTGGGTAATATTGAAAAGCTTTTGTAGTTTTCATATAGGGAACCCGACTTTAAAGTTCGGTTTTTTTGTCAAATAATTAGTTGGTCTTGTTTTGTATGATGGAAATCATGGAGTATCCAGTGTTTAGTTTCGATCCTTTCAATGCAAGCAGAGTTGCATTTGCGTGGCAGAGCTCTTTCAAGGGCTATATAATTGAGTGAAAGTTTTGATTTTACATGTGAATATTTGTTTTGTTTTGTTTTGTTTGAGATTGTTCTAATTGGTGCATAGTGTTGTTCTGCGTTACACGAACCAAGCCATCCCATTGATAATAACTGTTTCTCTTAATCTGTATAGCTGATGAGTTTTTTGTTTGTATTCTGCGCATATTCGGTTGAGGTATTGACACTTTCTATTGGTCCTTGCCCATGTGTGCTTTTGTGAGCGGTTGTTTGGTAACGGTGAACCTTTTTACCTTTTGGATTGGATTGGGGAAACTTTTCAGTCTATGTAAGACACTGTATAGTTTATAAGATCTGAATAGAGATCGTACTTAAGAGAATTTGGTTTACGTAAAAGTGAATATCTTTACATTTTTATTAGTAGTCTATCAAAGGAAACTTCTTTACCCTTCTTTTCTGTTAAATTGGTCGGGTTTGCTCTTATATACTGATATTTCATTGTGACTACTTAGCATGTTCTTTTATTCCTATTAGAACGTTTGTGTTAAGAGTTTTTAAATACCATTAAAATCCTTCATGTTTATCTTTCATGGCCTTGCATCCTGAGTTCTTTTTTGTTAACAGCATGCTTCGTAATCGACAACCGGCAAGGTTCGACGAACTGACTCGCGTTCAGTGTGGGGTCGGAGAACTTACTAACCTACGCATTTCTGAAGAGGAACGTTGCCAGCTAATGCTGCAGTGCCTATTCAACAACAATGTTCCTGATAATGCTGAGCAGCAAACTAGCCGTGGAACTGCTGCTGCCGATGTTGTGGTCACTGGAGCTAACACTTCGCCATATTTCAAGCGGACGATCTCTTTTCGAATGGTGCTTAGCCTTTTTTTATTTTCCTCCTTTCTGTTTCCTTCATTTTATTGTTCTTGTTATTGTGCTTTGCATGTGTTGTAATGTGGGGTTGGTTTGGTTCAGTACAACCCTTCGTAGATTTCTTAGCATAAAACTAGCAAGTAGTTGTGGTTTATGTTACGATTTCGAAGATCATTGTAACATGGAAGGGGTTTGAAGTCAAGAGAATTCCTAGGAGATGGATTTTTATAGTTTTTAATTTCAAGCAGTTACAGGCCGTCGCTGATTCACCAAAGTCCGTCGATGCCTCCGGCAATGTTGAAGGCGATCTGCGAGCTGACCGTTCGTGGTTCAAATTCGGTAACTGGAGAGCGGGAGTCTCCCAAAATGACCAAATCAACAACCGGTAACACCATAGTCGCCACGCCACCACCTTCATCTGTTGTCGCTCCTGTATCAACATCTTCTCAGGTTAGTTCTCAGACATAGGGAAAATTCTGCTTAAATAAGTACAGAGATAGCAGAGACGTAGTGCCACTCGTAACAGCAGGGCTGTGAAGAAGGGGAAATCGCCGAAAAGTCAGCCATCGACAAACAACATCAGTAGCTATAGAGATGTTTAAACTCTTTTAATCCAAACCATGACTATTTGTGGTACTTTAAAAATACAACTTTTTGCTTTGCGTTTTTTGTTTTGCATTTGATTTTCCCTCAGTGAAAAAGTGGCAAACAGTCAATTTGACGCGCGAAACATTATGACACGGGTGAATATAATTATGACTAACACATTAGATTTTAGCCCTTTTATTTACTGCCTTTTTCTTTTTAATGGCAGGGTATGTTGCGAAATATAGAACTAGCTGAGAGACATGCAAAACGAAGGATCCGGATGGTGTGGTGGTGAAGTGCGCTACTCCCCGGAAAGGACAATAGCGCACGTTCGTTCCCCACCGCATACACCTGCGGTCCGGAGTATTGCAAATATCTCAGCATTGTACATTAGATTTTGTTTTCCGCAATCCTTTAGGATTGAGCGAGAAATTATTTAGTGCATAAGGATATTTCTCTCGTTTATTTAGAGTATTAGTTCGCTTTTTTGTTCCACTCTCTTTGTGATTATTTATTTGATTAACCAGTAATATAGTATGCCATTCGAATTATTGCTACAAAATTCTACGACTTTCATTATTTGTCGGGTTTTCGAATTTTCTACATGTTTATTTTTGGTAGTCTTGACACAAGGCGGTGAATTCTTTCTCAAAAACAATGAAAGACACTGAAATCTGTATTTGAAACAGCTAATCATCATTGTCTTCCCAACAGTTTAACGCCTCATCGTGGCTTAGAGGTGTTCCTGGGTGTCGGCCTGCGATGTACAGCGGGAAACTTTATCTAGCCAGCATTATCTCCCAAGCTGAGAGTGAGTCCGGTATTTCCATCAGAAAGCCTAGCTAAGAATTAACCAATGCCAGGATCCACCACCGTCCCGGTAGCAAACCAGTTGCTTGGTGCAAGTCTCCCTCTGATCCACAAGGACAGCGACAACCTGTGGTGGTGACGACATAGGGCAGAGTTTGGCCTCGCTAACCTTGGGACTTCAGAGAACCACAATGGCTAGATCAGAAAAACTCCGAAAAAGTGGAAACTATGCTGAGTCCTGTACAACTAGTGAGAACAGCCATCCAAGGATTCAATTGGCCAAGTGATCTTATTCCTTTGTCGTTCATCCGAAATAGCGTTACAGTTCGTTCAACCATTTTCGGGGAACGCATGGTCCGTACCTATCATATCTGTATATTCAGCTACTTGGCAATGACGTTTGTTTTTCATGTTTCTTTCGCAACGGAAACTCGTGAAGATTTATGTTACACAAGCAACATCAAGGAAGAAAATGGATTAAAATCAATCATTATAGTCACGAATTTGTTAAATACTTTCCTTCGTTTTCTGTTATGAGCATTCGGCTGTTTTTTTTGGTTAAGTATTCGTATTTTAGTTATTAAAGCTTTCATCACAGCCATCACACATTGTTAACTATTATCTGAATGGTTAAGACTATTCGAAAGCTGAATCATACATGCGAGTAGTTCTTAGTTTATATCCAGTAGTCCACAGTGTGGTGCTTTCGCTTATTTCCGTTGTTACTATAGGTGAGCGCATTGTACCCCTTATAGTTTAATGAAGTCATGCGCTGGAATACTTCTTCGTTATACGTTGTTATTCTGTGTAGTTGCAACTTTACCCTCTCAGCTTATCGTTGTCGTATTTAGACTTTTGCACCTTCGACTGCTTTGCAGTCCTCGTCGGTAACCCCCGAACAACGAGCGGGCACAACTACTGCGACGGCTGGCAGCACAGTCACCCAATCCAGCACCACTGCGTTTCCACGTAACACACGAAATAGGCAGACATTCCACGGAAAAACAGATTACAACAAGGTAATTTTTTCAACACAATTGAATCGCTTTCCATCAGTTTTTAGCAGTGTATCTGTGTCGATTTCAACTAGAACCTAGTTTTCCAGAGGTTTAGCTTGCTTGTTTTTTCTTGTTCTAGAACGCCAATCCATTGCAAAGCTTATATTAGCGCCTTAGCGTTTCGAAGTAATCAAGAAGGCGCGTGTGGCGCAGTGGTCGGAGGCGCCCTTCAATACACACATGAGATCGGTCTAGGCTCTCAAGGGTCACCAAGCCTACCTTTTCTCCGGATTTGGCAAATTTGTACCAGGCTTGTCTGGGAGGATAGCAGCACTGGCCGTATACATCGGTAGGCCACCGCGAGTCATTGTAAGGACAGATATGCATTCAGTCACCGCCAGCGATGCTTAGTGAAGTCGAATACACGGCGTATCCCACATGGATTGGTCGATACCGAGAGCTTTATCGTTATGCTTTAAGCAGTCAGGTTATCTGAACTGCACAGTGTTTGCATTCAAATGCAAGTGGATCCGTACATGTTATTCCCATGTTTTTGTTGTAATTCAACATTCTTTAGTATTGTATTGTCATTTTTCCCTATATGATTGCCTAATGGTTGACCTGGCTGTATTGTGTTCCAATTTTTATCGCGTATTTGAAGAAGATATCACTTACTAGCTAGCAAAGTTGTGCATACCCTTCGTTTCTGTAATGGTTATACGGAGTGTTACGAAATTTTGCCCATGTCATCCAGACGGACATTCGGTTCCTAATTGTTTCTGGAGAATTAGGCTGATTCTTCATAGTTTTAACCACCCATTTTTTCCGAAATATTGAAATATCACTGACTTTCTTATTTGTAGGTTTTATTTCACTTTATACATCTCGTTTATTCGTCATGCATTGCTTAGGTGAATGGTGAAGATGAAGAATCCGAAAGTGAGCAAGCTCCTGCAGGCCAGTCAGTAGGTAACGGTCAGAAAGGAGGATTTTTCCTTTCGAAACTCACAAAATTAACGCGACGGTATGCTAGAGCTTTTTATTTGTGTGACTGTGGTTGTTATTTTGTATTTTCTGATTTTAATTGTTGCCCACTTCACCCGTCATCATTTTTATCAATTTTTGTTTCAAATGTCCTTTTTTCCCTCCAAAGTTTTCACTAACATTTTCTTTTCTGACTAACATGCAGTTAACACTTCATCGAAACTAACAATATGGAAAAATGAACTGCCTTACACCAGTGTCTAATGATTACAGGTGAACTGAGGATAGTTGTGTTTCTTTCTAACGAATTTTTAGTGTATTACGTCTGAATTTAAGACAGATTTTCCTTTCTAACCTTGTGGTGTTTGTGTTTTTCTCTGGTTATTTTGTATCAGTTTATGGGTTGTTGACGTTTTGGTAAGGTGAGACTGTCACTGACGGGATGATAACGATGGTGGTGGTTAGATCTGTGCATAATTTTCAAACCTGTTCATTCGTAAACACATTTCATTACACATAAGTGCAGTACAAGTTCTTTACTAGCATTGCGTGAATACTGTAGTCATAATTGCGTGGAGCTTCTTCTGTCTTCTAAGCTATACTAATGTGGTCTACGTGTAGTAGTTTTATTAATACATCATTTCCAAATGCGATTAACTATTATTTAAAGCTTCAACTTCACTCCTGTTTTTTTCTCTGTATGAGCCTTCTTTTCGACCTACCACTTATGAGGCACGGATTCTGTTCCAATCTACTTGTCGTCATCGTTTATTCATTTGTATACGATCTGTCTAAGCTAATTCTTTCGCATTTCAAGGGTAAGATAAAATTTGGTTAAGAGGGCAAATAATTCTTCGGAAGTGACGTCGATGGCTTAGATCGTAACGAATTATATTTCCATTTAGCTTCACTTTCCCAGCTTGCAAATCAATGAGTTTAGTTGGGGATACTGAATTTCCTTTTCTTGAGCTTCAATTCGTTATTCTTGCTTAGTTTTACGTGCAATTTCTTTCGGAATGAGCGGAGCATTGAAAATTTGAGTGAATTGTGCTATCTTTTCTATGCTTGTAACCTTGAGCTCCCGGCAAACCCGCATGAACCCCCTTTTACAGTAGCAGCACCGCCTCGTCTACAGGTGTGACTAACGTGGCACCTAGTTTCACTGTGGCGTCTCCCCGCCGTATACTTCACCATTCTCTGTCGATGACGGGGGCAACACCCGATTCAGCCACCACTTACTGCCATCGTTCATCGGATTACAGCCCGTCAGTGGTAGCCAGTGGACACCATTACGAAAGCGGTTCTGGCACATCAGCTTCTTATTCGACTGCTCGTAGGGGACCTCATGAAACAGTCACTCAACCCTCGGTCGGCCATCTTCCATCGAGAGGGGGTGCTGTGGGTCCGAGTGCTGGAGCTCCGGCTAGTACTCTGACTCAAATTCGTGAAGGACACGCCGTGGTGCCAACCGGCACTACAACTCCACCTCTTGGTCGAGATGATGAGATCAAACCTCGCAGCTTGCGTTTCACATGGAGCATGAAAACAACAAGCAGCCTTGCACCGGACGAAATGATGAGGTTTGTTATTGTAACTGGTTGTTTTTTTTCTTCGTTTTTTAATATATGCTACCGATTAAGATATATCTACTTAAGATATATTTCTGTTTAATAGAAAATAATGATAGTTTTGTTTAGTCAAGATCTTACCTGCAGGTTTTGGGTTGTTTACGTATACTTTGCTCTTAGGGAAATTCGCAAAGTTCTCGATGCCAACAATTGTGATTATGAACAACGTGAACGATATCTGATTCTCTGTGTGCACGGCGACCCCAATGCTGATTCTCTGGTCCAATGGGAAATGGAGGTAAGTGATAGTGGGTTTTCTTGTTTAGGGTTCAAACAGCGTTTAGCGTGTTTCTTTTAAAATCCAACCACTTTCTAGGTGTGCAAACTTCCTCGCCTAAGCCTTAATGGGGTGCGTTTCAAGCGAATTTCGGGCACGTCAATCGGGTTTAAAAATATAGCATCTAAGATTGCGCAGGAGCTCAATTTGTAGACGACCACGAAGTGTGTCTTTGTCGTTCACCATTTGGGTTGTCTGCTGCGTAGTCAAGTACTCTAAACCTTTTGGTGGTTCCACATCATTTTTTTCCTCTCATTCACATTGCTTTTTAAAATGTTTTAATAGCTTTGTGAGGTTGTTGTTAGTAGCTCGATGTAATTAGAATTATTTCGGCTTAAGTTTCCTAGCGTTGCCCTAGTTCATGTTCGGTGCTTTCGTCCTGCAAAAAATGTAAGCAAAGCTTTGAAATATTTTTTATAACTCGAAATAAACGAGTTTGTTCTTGTTTAGTTGAGGTTTGTTCCTTTGTCTTGAGTACCGAAAACCATACCGTACTAGTTTTATGGACTGTTTGAATTATTCTTACCTTGTTTGCTTATTTAGACAGATTTTCACTGATGTAAAATTTATCTCGTCTCGTTCTTTATTTCGATACTTGTTGGATCTTCATTGTGAATTGTTTCCGTAGTTTTTATTATCAGACCCACAATCACGAAATAACCGGATTTTCGAGGATATTTGTGATATACTTCTCTAACGTCCGTTCTCATTTCTGAACTAGTTATGTGTTTTACGTTTTACCTACTCGGTACTAGCTGAATGTATCATGCAGGACGGTTTCACTAGCTGAGATTGCAATATTTCATGAAAGTGTGTCTCTCAATAGTTGTTTACTATTAATGTTTACCATAAGCTCTTTCCGAGTATTGTTGCGTTGATCGATCCGGTCATCGTATCCAAACTGTTGCTAATGATAGAATATTTCGTTGATCTGTGATTTTACCGCGCTAAGTTTGGGAAACGGATTCCCTCCTAGCACGGATTTATATGAACACTTAGCTCTGCCACAGTTTTTTTCATCTTTACGTCGGGATATTGCTCCTCATGTATCACTTGCTTACCATTGTGAAGCTAATTGGAGATTTGTCCCAAAAAAGATCCACATGTGAAAGTTTGATTTGTAGTGGGATTTTTACTTAGCCCTATACACAGTTCCTTCCAGTGGAGAGTACACATTGTAGTGTTAAATGTCCAAAAACTTTAAATTGGCTTAATATTTAGTAGCAAGAGTAAAAATTTTGACGGACATCTTTGTTTGTCTGTAGCACTAGAGTATTTTGTTATATTTCTGATTAGTGTTTCTTTGCCAATCTTTCCGTTTCATGCTTTACCAGAGTAGCGTTACTCCTCGAAATCCTCGCTTCATTTTAACCATCCTTAAGAATTCTTTCCACTTGGAACGGGTGGGATCTGTGCTATCTATTTCGTAACACCGCTGACTTTGCTACGTGAAGTACTGATAGTGGAAATGGAGGGATAAATTTATCGGCATTTCTTGCTAAAGAATTTTTGCAATCATGGTTATACACGAAGTGCATGGACAGGAGCCTGTAGTTATCTCTTCGCTAGTGGTTTTCATATCGATCACATTATTTAAGTCAGAACAATATTAAATAATCAAAGTGATGCTGAGTTATCTGCAAAGCTTAGACCCCAGGCTTCATTCGAAACCGCGATGCCTTTTCTAGGGGGCTCACGTATTGCTCACTGAAGCACCGAGGTCTTTTCTTTTTTCCTCTCAACCAGTTTTTTTTTTTACTTTAACAGTGCCCTTAGTGATCAACCATCAACGAATGTGATTAATTCCTACTTCATACTATTTTCTTACAGTTCTTGTGAAAGGTTTATCATTTGATAGCAATAAAGGGAATACTACCGGTTGACGCAAACGTAGAGCAACATGAATGAATAGTTCCACCAACGGAAATATCGTCATGGGAACCCAAACGACATATCATCTCGTAGGGACTAAAAATGCATAGTCTAGTGGTGCAGGATTGCTTTAAGGATTTGGTGCTCAAGGTCAAAGCTTACCCATAAGTCTGATGGCCGCCAACATCATCTTCACATTGTTTTCCCCTTATGTTTGCAAAAGAAACGCATTTTTACTAAAAATTTCTTGTACCTCGACAGGATTTCCAGTTTAGTGTCATGTTACTATTATGGCAAGGTTTTCTCTGAACATTTGCAGGAGCAACGGGCCTTGGCGAGTTCGTAGCCTCAGACACTCTCGAACTGTTGTAATTTGGAAGAATGTCATGTTACAATTAAAATTCTTCCCATATGATGGCGATTTTTATCATTATTCAATAATTTGTGGGTTTGTGCGACGAAATGTCGAACTTCTCAACTCGGATGAATCTGCTGAGGTGATGAATCGCCTAACGTAGAAAAAAATATTTAACCCTCAAAAAGACATTGCTTTGATAGCATTGAAATTGTTACCCCAAGAAGATTTGGTGTTTAGCGTCTTCTGGAGGAACAGTGTAACTCCATAGCCCTTTGAGTGAATGCAAAAAATGACAACTGTACCTTTTTTCTCAAATGACCTCAAGAGGTCATCTCATAATGTTCGCATTGTTCCAGTAGAGTTGTCCAAGATTTGCTCGAAAACTTCAGCAACGATAGCTGTCAGTTTTTGTTATTCTGGTTCACATCTGCTTGCGATGGTCTAGTGTTTTTATGAGCATTCATTAGGTTGTTTGTTATTCTATGTTTTTCGGAAATCAGTGCAGGATTTTCAAGCAGTATGCTGAGAGTGAAATAAATGTAATAGTAAAAATAAAGGTATAAGTAGTAAAAATAAAGCAATGGCGCGTGTGATACAGTGGACAGAGGCGCCCTGCAATACACATGGGATCGATTGTCGCGCCCGTGGCTCACCAAGCCTTCCATCCCTTCGGGGTTGGCAAATTGGTACGATTTGTCTAGGTGGATAGCAGGCACTGGCTTGATACATCTGTAGGTCACCAGTCAAGGCAGATATGCATTCAATCACCTCCAAACGATGCTTAATGAAGTAGAATGCCTGCCGCATCCCTAAGGGATTGATCAACGCTGAGAGCCTTTTCCTTTATCCTTTATGTTTAAAGTATCGTATCAGAGCTGGATGAAAAATTACTAAATGAAGTGGAAGCCTTTAGAATCTACATGTTTTTGCCATCGGGATCGTAATTTATCTATTTTGATTGTCTTAAACTCTGGACCTCTCGACGCGATAAAGTCGATGAAGGCAGCTTCGGCTTCGACTTCGTTACTGAGACATTTCTGAGAGAGAACTAAATTCTGTAAGCATCCCAACAGCTGTACGTGTGTTTACTTGCAGAAAAGTCTTGAAATTACCGTCGAGAGTGGCAGAAGAGTGCTTGTGGTCTCCGAGGTGGAATTAGCCACACCTAAATTTCCCAAACCAACGTTGGACCGCGCATTGGCTAGCAGTTCCTTATTCCCATACGTCAACTATGCTTCGAGCCTTTTGCGTCCGAGTTTGAATTCGTTAAAGTGAATTTTTCAATGTTGATTTTTGGCATATCAGTTAATAACTCGTGAGCTTGATAATACAGCTTTTGAAGTTCGACTTATTGCTATAGCATATTCAAGAGGTAAAATTGCAACTCTCTCCATCATTTGATTTTTTCACACAAAACACGATGGTATTTCTCAATATACCGTTGATGTTTGCGACTCAACTGTGTTGGGAATTCTGATGAAAATAAACCCCGATGTCCGTTTTTTTCAATTTGTTTTTTTAAGGAGATGGAATCAGGTTAGTTTTCGGGACTAGCATTGGCATCCTTGGGGTAACAGGTTTCTAAACTCCCTCCATGAGCTGAACGAGCCCTCGTGGCGGTTGTGCCGTTTAACGCGCTGAAAGCCTTGGTTTGATCCCAACCCTAAAATATCCCGTGCTCCCATTCCTTCGAGATTGTCAGCTGGTATCAAACTTGTCTAAATAAACTCCTAGAAAGGTGCACGATTATATAGAAACGCCTTATTATGGCTATCCCAGGATTCCGGGGAGAACTGAATCCACCAGCCTCCAACGACATCCTTGAAGAAGTCGTGGTGCCTCAGCAAAACCCAGACGCGAGCCCGAAGACGTTCATGGATGATGTATGCGAGGAAATTAGTGGTAATGTGAAGACGAATATGAACGACCAGTACCGCACGCAAATTTCACGTGAAAAGCACGCACATAACCTAAAAATAAAGAAAGAACACTCGTTGTTGTGTAACAAATTCGCAACCGATCGGATTTCGCTTCAACTGCTGAGAACTTTTCGTTAACCTAAGCGCTTGAGATGATTATTGCTGGGCAGGATCAAAGTGGGGATTTAATCCTGTTTGTTTGGCCTTTCGTCTACAGATATAGGACGGGGATAGCACAGTGGTAGTGACGTCCGTCATCACGAGCGTGGTTGTAGTTCGATTCCGTCCTGGCCCCAACAAGCCTCTCATCTCTCCGGAGTCGGGAAATTGGAACCGGACTTGTCTGGGAAAAAATCACTCTGCAATCTAACTGGGAGCGCTCGAGCCCGGCTCTCTCAGGACTCCAGAGAGAATTGCTCGACCAGCCTTGTACAATATTCAAGATAAAATGGGAATCCTCAAGCAGCAACCGAAGCCACACGTAAGAACTTGGAAGACCTTTGTGGAGGATGGATGCGAGGACACAAACTAGATGTGAGAAGTGCTGGGATCCGCATAGTAGACGTAAAGACGGATCAAATAAAATAAAATAAAATTAAAAAATATATATATTCGAATTCTGAGAAAATTTAAAAGAAGTTTTAACCTTTTTCTTTACTGCTTATTCTTTTCAACGGTAGAGTATGTTGCGAAATATAACTCCTATAATGCTGTGATACTTGTAAAACTCCGGACCGCAGGTGTCTGCGGTGGGGAACGAACGCGCTATTGTCCTTTCCGGGGAGTAACGCCTTCACCACCACACCATGCGGATCCTTTCGCCTTTACCAGATCAATCCCGTTGACGGGTGATTACTGATGGCAAAAGTTCGATTGAACTAGCTGAGAGACAGGCGAAACGAAGGACCCGCATGGTGTGGTGGTGAAAGCGTTACTCCCCGGAGGGGACAATAGTGCGTTTGTTCCCCACTGCAGACACCTGCGGTCCGGAGTTTTGCAAATAT